GAATTTGATAATTTTTACATCAATAGATTCCTTAACTCCCCACGAGTTCATACATATCAAAAGTTCTGAAATCCGACCTCAATTGGTCCTTCAAATCCTCAATCAAAGGTCTAAGTTTCCAAGCCCTAGTTTCCCCAAACTTTGATCCTTAAATTCCATTAATTATAAGCCTAATCCGTGAAATAATACCATAGAAACGAGTTTTAGGTCCAAAATCTTTACCTCAATGAAGTTCCCTTGAAATCCTTCTTCAAAATCGTCCAAAAAGCTCCAAAGCCGACTTAAAAATGGTGGAATAGCTCAAAAATCGCGAAGCAAACAATTTATACTTTCTGCCCCAGGCATTTTTGCATCTATGGTCAATCCACCGCATTTGCGGTCAACGAACCGCTTCTGCGGTTCTTCACTTAACGGCCAAAATCGCATCTGCGATGAACATTCCGCACCTGCACCTTTGTAGGTGCGGTACCACAACCGCATATGCGGTTCCTGCCTTTCCAGTCATTTTTCGCTTCTGCGGTCCCTTTCATCGCTTCTGCGGCATCGCACCTGCGGTCCCCAAACCGCATATGCGGAAATGCCAAAAGCAGAAAAATGTGCAGCTTCAACAAAATCTCAAACTCTCCGTCAACCATTCGAAATCACCCCGAAGCCCTCAGGACCTCAACCAAAAACACCAACATGTCCCAAAACCTTATTCAAACTTATACCAATCTTCAAAATACCTCAAACAACATTGTATCAACCAAACTCATTGGATTCAAGCCTAAGTTTCTAAAATCTTCCGAATTTCGCTTTTGATCAAAAATCCAACCAAACCACGTCCGAATGACTTAAAATTTTTCACACACATCGCAAATGACACAACGAAACTACTGCAACTCTCGGAATTCCATTCCGACCCCTATATTAAAATCTCACCTATCAACCGGAAAATGCCAAAAATCCAATTTCGCCAATTCAAGCCTAAGTCTACTCCAAACCTCCAAAACTCATTCCGATCATGCTCCTAAGTGCCAAATAGCCTCCCGGAGCTATCCGAACCATCGAAACTCACATCCGAGCTCTCTAACACATAAGTCAATATCCGGTTGACTTTTCCAACTTAAGCATCCTCAAAAGAGACTATGTGTCTCAAATCTTACCAAATCCTTTCCCGAGCCAACCAACCTGATCACATATAGAACCAATAGACGAAACAATAAGAAGAAGAAATGGGAGAGACAGAGTGGTAACTCATGAAACGACTGGCCGGGTCGTCACATAAATATATGATAGGACATTGCATGAGAGCTTGGGACAAAAACTTACCTCTTTAGTAGACGACTTGATAGATCATCCCCTTGGATTCCCAAGAATTGATCAACAATTGAAGTGTTGAAGTATTAAAGCTTCTCCTTTCCTTTCTAGCTCCATTCCCCTCTCTCTAAAATATCATATTTTTGCTTCAAAACGACACCTACATGTCTTTTTATTAGAATTGGGTCGGGTAAAATTTCTCAAATTGAACCTCTTGAGTTTGCGATCGCAGATTGGACCGCAAAACAGGCATGTGGTCCACGAAGTGGACCACAAAATGGTCCTCCAAAACTAGGTTGGTGTGTTCAAATCTGCGGCGATTCTGCGGTTCGCGGATCGATTTTGCGGTCGCACGTTGGACAGTAGATTCCCCTTCCAAAATTTCCCATGTTGATTATACGACGGATGTGCGGCCTGCGAAATGGTTGTATGGTCACATATTAAACCGTGAAATGTCCTTCAAAATCAAGCTTATTCTGGTTCGATCTGTGACGATTCTGTGGTCAACGAAACAATTCTGCGGTCGCATAATGGACCGCAGAAATGCCATGTTCTGAAAAAATTTCCACCAACTCCACAATGCATTGCACAATCCAAAACGTCTGTACATCTACAATCTTCCAAAACACATTAGCCTATCTTAGCACCATAAACCTCAAATCCTTGGCAAAATTTTATGGGGCCTTGCAAGGACAACAAATAATGCACCAAGAAGTTCCATCCTTATTGGAGACCTAGGGTATGGAGGTACAAGAACTGGTAATACAAGTCAAGGTATCGATACTACCGGTACTTGAGAACTGCAAAGCTCTATCTGGTCTTTGCATCAAACTTTATTGAAACAAATCAATGAGCAGAACAGCTGTATTGATCAGATAGCGGGGGATCCGCTTGTGCTAAAGGTATACATGTAGAAAATATTCTTAAAAACCTTAAAAGTCGAAGGTTGTTCCTCTGCTTACTCCTAGAAGTTCAAGATGTCGTGCCAAATATGATGGTACTTCAGATCGTCGAGATCGTGTTGCTACCTACACTATCAGAATCAAAGGAAACAACTTAACAAAATAGGAAATTGATTCAATGTTGGTCAAGAAGTTTAGGGAAATGCTCATAAATGGGAGCATTAACCCGGTATTTACTTTTGCCTGAGAATTCAAAAAGTTTATTTGTAGAACATGTAGATGCCTTCATTAAGTGTGATTACCTGATAGATGTTTTTGATTATCAACCTTTATTTTCGTATTTTGAGACCTATATTAACTTCATTTGATGTTTGTTTATTTGTGTGCATGGTCTATGTCATTTTTTGGATAGTTTTTATGTAAATATTTGAAGAAAAAGTGATTTTAGGCTTAAAATAGGACTTGAGTTGACCACGGTCAACATTCTTGTGAAACGACCTTGGATCGGGATTCTGAAATTTATGGTAGGTGATGTGCCGGAGAATTTCGGCAAATTTAATACAAATTTCTTAGATTTTAGCTTGTTTTAAATGCAATTATCTTTTATACTTATGTAATTTTAATGTTTTGTAGTGTATGAGGTTTAAGGACCCAAGAACATGAAAATGAAATCAAGAAGCCACAAAAGGACAAGAAAAGGGCAAAATGTGATCGCAGATGTGAGAATGCGGACCGCAAATCCAACATGCGGACCACATATTGCTCAAAGGAATCGCAAAGCCCAACAATCTGTTGGCCAAATTCAAGTGCAAGAAATGTGGTCCATTATGCGACCGTATAACAGGTTTGCAGGCCGCATAATGGATCACAAACTCCCTGTAGAAGTTGTTAAAGGTGGAAAATGCGGTGACAAATGCGATCACAAATCAACAATGCGGACCACATAACATAATGAGACGAATACATAGGAACTAGGGTTTTGAATATGCGATGGCTGTGACGAGAATGCGGACCATATGTCTATTATGCGATAGAAATGCGGTCGCATAATTGACCTGGAAGGGTATTTTTATTCGAAATTGGTCCTGAGTTTTACCCCACTATAAATAGATTTATTGGGGTTTTGTGGGGGCATCTTGTCTGGTTTTTAAGCTACATTCCTACCTTCAAATATTACTCTCTTTTGGAATCTTTAGGAGTGAAGAATCTTGCACTTTGTAAGCTTTATGACATTTAATATTCTCATCTTTGTGTATTTTAGCATGAGTAGCTAGCTTTAAATAATAAGGTTGTGGACCCTAAATGGGTGTTATGTTAATAGATGTTTAACATTGAATATATATATATATATATATATAGGTTGGTTGATATATATTTATTTTTCATTCTTCATTTATTGTTGGTGGTTGCTAACATTAACAAGAGCCATTAAACTCTTTCTTTACTTGGAAAAGTGAGTTAGAGTTTGGTAGAAGTAAATATCAAAGACTCAAGGCTTTAAACCTTGTTTAATAGAATCGCTTAGGAATAAATGGGTTTTATTTGACATAAATTGATTGCTCTTAATTGCAAATCTTTTATATTTGGAAAAATTATAAAGAAAAAAATACTACCCAACTATTGAAAAATATTGGGTAGTCATTTAGAAATCATTTGCATATCTAAAGAACCTTCCATTAGAAATATATCATATTAACACCGATAGCATTACATTTCATTGAAGGGGACACAACCTTGGTTTCCTTAATCAAATTATTTATGTTCTCAACGTTACAATTATTTATTTCTTCAAATCACAATCATATCATACTCTTGTTACAATTAACGGAATAGAATTACGACCTAAGTGAAGTAGCACACTACTCGAGTAACCTTTTCACACCTATTCCTTGTGGGATTCGACCCCAACCTTATTGGGTTATTATATTTGATACCGACCGCCTTACACTATTTAATCAAAGTGTAATTTGAGCGTATCAAATTTTGGCGCCGTTGTCGGGGAATACGGTATTGAAATTGCTAATTAGTGTGTGCTTTACTTTACGTCTTATTCTATTCCATCATACTTTACTTGTTTTGCTTGGTGTTGATAGGAAGACATGGCCGAATATGAGAAAGAAATGGAAAAAAATCCTTTTGCAGACATACATGAGTACATCGGGGATACAAATGCTATTATACCTCCGGTTATTGGTGCTGCAACTTTCAAAGTGGAACATGGTTTTGTCCTAATGCTCAAAGCGGAGGGGTTTTTCAGGAATTTCACTGATGATGATTCGACACAACATCTTATAAACTTCTTGGGTGTGTGTGTGATGCATAAGTAGAACAACATCTCAGAGGATGCCCTAAGGTTGAGGGTGTTCAAGTACTCACTAGCTGGGGATGCAAGGAAATGACTTCAAAATATCCACCAAATTCCATTCATTCTTGGCCTGAACTTGTTCGAGCATTTTTAGCTAAATGGTTTCTACAAAGTAAGAAATCTGAGCTCCAGGATAAAATTTTCTTTTTCAAACAAGTACCGGGAGAACATCTACATGAGGCATGGGATCGATTCAAGTTATATTTGGTGAGGTCGCCCAATCATGCTTTTCCGGATTCTATCTTGTTGGAGAAATTCTACATGGGTTTAGATCATATGAACCAATCTATAGCCATGAATGTAGATGATGGATCTTTTATGGACAAGACATTCGCAAGGATCACACAAATACTTGACAAAATGGCAAAACATAATCAAGCTTGGCACTCAGAGGACACCACAGGTGGAATTGCATATGGTTCTCCCTGACCACAATGATTAAGGAGAATCAAGAAAGAGATCAGGTAATTGCAAGGCTTGCCACCAATGTCAATGTGTTGACAAAAATATTCACTGAAAGTCAAATGAAGAAGGTAAATATGGTGGAAGATATGCAACCATCATCAAGTGAAGATTATGAGGAAGCCAACTATGTCAACAACTCAAGGCAGTCAAGGACAACAAAATCAATGGAGGCCTAACCCGCAAGGGCAAGACAACCAACAATGGAGAAATGACCAAGTAGGCTCAAATCAAGGAAATTGGAATAACAACAACAACAACAACAACTTCTCAAATCGGAGTTCAAATCCTTATGTTCCTCTAAAGGGTCAATATTCAAATCAAGGTTCCTCAAGTGATTCCAAGTTGGAAATCATGCTTGAACGGGTATTGCAAAATCAAGAGAGGTCCGACACTTCTATGAGGAACATGACCGAGCTTGTTGGTTCTTATACAACATCCATTCAAAAATTGGAGATGCAAATGAGATCTCTCTCTAGGGAAGAAAATCCAAAGCAAAAGGGAACACTTTATAGTGACACAATTGCGAACCCAAAGGGTAGTGGGAGTGGCCCAATTTCTCATATTATGGAAATTACTACTCGGAGTGGGAAGGTACTACAAGAAGAGAGCGAACAAGTGGTTGAAGTAGAAGAGTCCGAACAGGGGGTTGGGGTCGAAGAGCCAAGTGTTGTTGAAGTTGAAAAGGTCCCGGAAGAGTTTAAAATGCAAGAAGTAAATTGGGAAGAGGTAAAGGAAAAGGTAAAAGAGATGCCAAAAACTCTACCACCTATTCCTATACCTCCTCCTCCATTCTCTCAAAGACTTGCTAGGAAAGTTAATGATAGCAAACTTGAAAAGTTCTATGGCATTCTCAAGCAGTTATCAGTGAATATTCCATTTGTGGAAGCATTTCAAGAGATGCCAGGTTTTGATAAATATTTGAAAGACTTGATTACCAAGAAGATAACCACCAAGAATGAAGTGGTGAATGCGACTCACCGGGTTAGTTCCATCATTGCAACATCCACCGTTCAAAAGAAAGAAGACCCAAGAGCTTTCACCATTCCATGTACTATTGGAGCACATGACTTTGCAAGAGCCCTTTGTGATAATGGGGCTAGCATCAACTTAATGCCTCTTGCCATTTACAAGAAAGCGGGGTTAGGTATTCCAAGGCCCACAAGTATGAGATTGAAAATGGCCGATCGTTCCATTGCAACATCCACCGTTCAAAAGAAAGAAGACCCAAGAGCTTTCACCATTCCATGTACTATTGGAGCACATGACTTTGCAAGAGCCCTTTGTTATAATGGGGCTAGCATCAACTTAATGCCTCTTGCCATTTACAAGAAAGCGAGGTTAGGTATTCCAAGGCCCACAAGTATGAGATTGCAAATGGCCGATCGTTCCATAAAGAGACCGGTGGGAATTGTCGATGATGTGCTTATAAAAGTGGGAATGTTTCATTTGCCCGCCGGCTTCGTAATCCTTGATTGTGAAGTTGACAAAGAGATCCCTATCATCTTGCGGAGACCATTCCTTACCACAGAAAGAGCATTAATGGATTCAGAATGAAATGAGATCAAATTCCGTGTGAATGATGAAGAGGTTACATTCCAAGCAAGCAAGGGTATGAAAATACCACATGAATATGAAAGCATCTCGGTGATTGATGTTATTGATGAAGTGGAAGATGCAGTTGAAATGAAGATGGAAGAACAATGCCTCAGTGAGGCATTGACGGCTATTTTGGTAAAATTTGACGGTAAAGATATGGAGGGGTATTTGGAATTAGTAAATGCATTAGAGGGGCTGGGGTCCTACACTTATGCTCCGACGAAGCTCTCTCTTGACTTGGAGAATAGAGCCACTCCTCCCGCAAAACCTTCTATTATTGAGCCACCGCAAGTAGAGCTCAAACCACTTCCACCACACTTGAGGTATAAATTTCTTGGCTCCAATAATACTTTACCGGTAATCGGTTCTTCTTTGTTGAATGATGTGCAGGTAGAACAATTGTTGGATGTCTTGAAGGAGCATAGGCAAGCTATTGGGTGGACAATTGCGGACATTCGAAGGATTCCCGTAGGAATTTGCAAACACAAGATCCAATTGGAGAATGAGACTAAACCAAGTGTGGAGCATTAGTGACAGTTGAACCCGTCCATGCAGGAGGTGGTAAAGAAAGAAATCATCAATTGGTTGGATGTCGAGGTAGTCTACCCCATTGCCGATAGTTCTTGGGTGAGCCCGATGCAATGTGTGCTGAAAAAGGAAGGCATGACCATGATTGAAAATGATAAAAATGAGATCATCCCAACAAGAACGGTGACCGTATGGAGGGTGTGTATTATCGGAAGCTCAACAATGCCACGTGCTAAGACCATTTCCCTATGCCTTTTATTGATCAAATGCTTGATTACAACATTCACTTGCCCTTATGGAACTTTTACCTTTAGCCGGATGCCGTTTGGTTTGTGCAACGCCCCGACTACGTTTTAGATGCATGATGTCCATCTTCTTAGATATGGTGGAGGATTTTGTTGAGGTTTTCATGGACAACTTTCCAGTGGTAGGTGACTCTTTTGAGCATTGTCTTAACAATCTTAGACAAGTGCTCAAGAGATGTGAGGAGACCAACGTTGTGCTTAAATGGGAGAAATGCCACTGTATGGTGGATGAAGGCATTGTCTTGGGGCATAAAATTTCAAAACATAGCATAGAGGTTGACCGGGCAAAAATCGAGATCATTTCCAAGCTTCCTCCACCTACTTCAGTTAAAGGTGTCCGAAGTTTCTTGGGGCATGCCGTATTCTATAGGCGTTTCATCAAGGATTTTTCCAAAATTGCAAATCCCATGTGCAAACTCCTTGAAAAAGATGCAAAATTTGTGTTTGATGAGAAGTGCCTCAAAGCCTTTGAGGAATTGAAACAAAAGCTCACCACGACACCTATTATTGTCATACCCGATTGGTTTCTTCCATTCGAACTCATGTGTGATGCCAGTGGTATAGCTATTGGGGCAGTGCTTGGCCAACATCACAACAAGGTTCTTCACCCGGTCTATCATGCAAGCAAGACATCAATGGAGCACAAATGAATTATATGGTGACTGAGCAAGAACTTCTTGCCATTGTCTATGCCATTGAGAAATTCCGGGCTTACTTGTTGGGATCCAAGGTGATAGTGTACACATTCCATGATGCTCTTCGCTATCTTATGGCAAAGAAGGATGCAAATCCTAGGTTGATTCGGTGGGTCCTGTTGTTGCAAGAATTTGACTTTGAAGTCAAAGATCAAAAAGGGATGGAAAATCAAGTGGCAGATCATTTATCAATGCTTGAAGAGGCAGGGAGACCAAAGGAAGATCTTGAAATCAACAATGCTTTCCCGGATGAGCACATATTGGATTATCTAACACTTTTGCTCCTTGGTACGCCGATATTTCTAACTACTTGGTTAGCGACCTTATTCCGGATGGATTGGAAGCTTATCAGAAGAAGAAGTTTTTGAGAGATTGTCGGCAATACTATTGGGAAGAACCATTCTTGTTCTGTGTTTGTGCTGATAACATCATCAGAAGGTGTGTTCCAGAAGAGGAGATTATGCCAATTCTAAAGGCATGCCACAACTCACCGGTTGGGGGTCACCATGGGGGCAATCAAATGGTGGCAAAGGTGCTTGAATGTGGTTATTATTGGCCGTCGATTTATAATGATACCAATCAAATGGTCAAGGCTTGCGGCCAATGTCAAAGGCAAGGATCAATCTCCAATAGGCATGAAATGCCAATGCACTTTGTGATGGAGATAAAGATCTTTGATGTGTGTGGAATTGATTTTATGGTCCCTTTTGTAAGCTTTTGTGGTATGAAATATATCTTGGTAGTTGTGGACTATGTGTCCAAATGGGTTGAAGCAATTGCCTTACCAAACAATGAGGCAAGAAGTGTGACCACATTCTTAAAGAAAAACATATTCACGCGGTTTGGCACTCTTAGAGCCATTCTTAGTAATGATGGATATCACTTTCATAACAAGGATTGCACGGGGCTACTAGAGAAATATGGCATCAAACATAAGGTGGCCACACCTTATCATCCCCAATCAAGTGGCCAAGTTGAAGTTTCCAATCGGGAGATAAAGAATATTCTAGCAAAGACTGTTAACGCAAACAAGACCGACTGGTCAAGGAAGCTAGATGACACATTGTGGGAATACCGCGAGGCATGCAAAACCCCTATTGGCACTTCTCCTTATCGATTAGTCATCGGCAAGGCTTGTCATCTACCCATAGAACTAGAGCACAAAGTCATGTGGGCTTTAAAAAGGTTGAACTTGGACTTGGCTGAAGCTGCAAATTTGAGGTTAACACAACTCAATGAAATGGAGGAATTCCATTTCCATGAATATGAAAGTGCAGCTGTGTACAAAGAAAGGATGATGTTTGTCCATGACAAAAAGATCTTGAAAAGGGAGTTCAAGTTAGGTTACTTGGTTTTTCTCTTCAACTCAAGGCTCAAATTGTTCCCGGGAAAGCTCAAATCGAAATGGTCCTGTCCGTTCAAGGTGGTAGATGTCTCCCCTTTTGGAGCTGTGGAATTAGAATCGGAGGATGGGCTCCGAACCTTCAAAGTAAATGGCCAGTGAGTCAAGCACTACTTGGTCACAAATGGAGAAAAACACTTGGTAGAACAGTTGGCTCTCAAAGATGGTCCGTGCCTGACCAATGAGTGAACCCAAAGAAAGGCCAACTTCATTGTGCCGCGACGTTAAATCAAGCTCTTCATGGGAGGAAAACCATGTGTTGTAACATTCTTTTTTGTCCTTTAAATTTTAACTTTTGTTAGATAGTTTTGATTGAGCAATTTAAAGTGTGTGTTAGAGTGTAGGTGATTCAAAAGATCATAACACAGGGTAAAATTGCATGTGAAAGGGAAGAAAAGTCACCATGGGAAGTCTGCTACACATATGTGGTCGCATTTTAACTATGCGGACCACTTAGTGGTCGCAGACCTGGACAGTTTGTTTGGCAAATATTAGTGGTAGAAATGTGGCAAGGACGTGCACTTTGTAGGCCACATTTCAGGTATGCGATCACACAAGTGCACCACATTGTGTCCATGAGCAACTCCAGTTGAAACCACCGTATAACACTTATGCGATCGCGTAAGGTGTTATGCGGTGACTTATCGACCGCAAACTTCACAGGTAAGTACCCCTACCCCTTCGTACATAAACACACACCAGCACTCAAATTTCCCTCTTAAACAAAACAAAAAAAACAAAAAGAAAAGGAAACCAAAAAAAAGGAGAAAGGCAGACTGCTAGTGTAAACAAACGATCCTGGAACAAAACAAATTATCCCACTTATTTAATTCATCTCCCAAGGTGTTCTAAATTCTCCAGTCCTGGTATGTTTTCCTTTCCAAATTTCATCCCTGTAAAGTTTAATTTAAATTTTGTTGTGTGTTTTTTTTAGTTTCCTTTCATGGTTGTTCATACTTCCTCGTTGTTATTGGGTATCTGCTCATAATGTGGGGGGTTTTGGGATAATTAGTTAGTCTTGGGGTGATGGGTAGTGAAATTGGGTTCGCCATTGTAGAGGGTAGAGTTCAAAACGTTGAGGACGACAATTTTTGCAGACCGCATAATCGATTTGCGGTCCGCATTGTTGCCGCATAACGAACCCTAGGTGACTTAAGGAAGAAGACAATTTGGGGAGGCTTTGTGATTGCATAAGTGATATGCGGACCACAAAGCCACCACATACTTAAACATTTTATGGCTTTTTGTACAATGTTGTTTGCGGCTAATTTGCGATCGCAAAATCCACCGCATAATTATATCCCTTTAGCAGACAGAAGTTTTGTGACATGTTTGCGGTCTACATAGTGGTTATATGACCGCATACCCTGCCGCATACTTGACTTTCTTTGTGCTTTTTCTTCTGATGTCTGCTATGTTGCTCACACTTCATTTCTTTATAGATATGGATCCTAAGAAGCATATATCTTCTTGCAAGAAAAGGGCCTCCAGTAGTCGTCAAGCACAACAATCCAAACATTCACGACCGGAACCTACTGCTGCACATCTCTCCCAGCCTGATGAGGAGGAGACCTTGCCATCAGTGGACCTACAAGCTGAGGCAAGAAGAAAAAATAGGAGATAATTTCTAACTCAGGTTTGAGGTCAAAGTCTCTAGGGATCTGTATAGAGAAGGGCTCAAAAAACGGAAAATCCTTGCCAAAAAACAACTGATTCTGAACGGGCTACAGGAGCAATACCCTCACATACTGGAGAACATCAAGGCTAGAAACTGGGAGTGCTTTACTAAGCTGCCTGATGATTATAATGAAACATTGGTTTGTGAATTTTATGCATCGTGTGGAGCCTCCAGGATACCTCACAACAAGTGCAATAAAGTTTTCTGTGATACAGTCTTGGTTCGGGGGAAGCAGGTGTTTGTACTAGTGATACTATAAATGAGTTCTACTTCACAAACTGGAGATCGGGCACAGCTGAGTATGACACCAAATGGGCCAACAGAGATAATGAGCGTGGTTGGATAGCCTC